GCAGGTGAATACCGTCGGTGTTGGGGCTGTTCTCCGGCGAAGAAATGGTGATATTGTCAACTTGGACGGTGCCGGAGTTGTCAAACTTCAGATGGCACTGTGGACTGTTTATTATGGTGATATCACGAACTGTCACATTGAAACTCGAATAAAATCTTAATGCCTGTCATTAATTAGCAAAATATTCTTTTAAAAACTGTAATTATGAGCAAAAAGAAGAGAGAAAGAGTAAGAAAAGTTTACAGTAGGCTTCATATCTGGAGTGTTCTTCATTTTCTTCTGCAGAAACAAAAACAACAAGACATGGTTTAGCTAAAACCACGATCTCTCAATGTAATTAGCATAATTTAATGAAGATTAAGAGAACCAACCTTGTTATTGTCGAATCTGGAGCGAGCCCACCAATTAAAGCCCATGCCATCCACAGTGCCAGAGCCTTGAATGGTGAAGTTATGAAGCCATTTAAAATTCAGCCATTGAAACAAGCTGGATTTAGGCCACGAACTCACTCTGGTAGGCGCCAATACAGCTCCATCAATCTGATTTGGAATGCCACTTCCAATTAACTATCTTATCCTTGGAACTCTAAGCAGCACTAATTTATTGACATGACGAGTCAAAAGAATATACTTTTTGTCTTTTTTTGAAACATTCTCAAACATACCAAACCCCTGAAGGAGAAGAAAACAAGGCAAACCTGAAGAACGAGCTGAGGCATACAAGGGCCTTTTAGAGATATGGGTTTGATGAGAAACTTGTACTGTGATGGTATTTCTAATGTAGCCCCAGTATTCTCGCATGCAGCTTCCCATGCTGCTAGAAGTGCCTGCATAAGATGGTTTTTTTACAGGTTCAAAACAGGACATCAGTCACCATTTTAAGGTTGTTTTGGACAGTTTTTACCTTGGAATCATCAAAAACTCCATTGCCCTTTGCTCCAAAAGACATGATATTAAAAACGGTGGACTGGGTTTGATTGTAATCAGGAAATGGAGGTGGTGCAGGACCTGAACCATTGCCATTGTCAACACCCTTTTGCTTCTGATGCTTGTTTTTCTTGCTGTGATATTGCTTCCTTGCCTCCACTCTAACTACAGAAGAAGACACCAGCAAAGAGACCACCAAAAACAGAACCAATGAAAGAGTTAAATTCTTGCTTCTTTGTTTCATCTCCAAAAGCATTATTATTTCACTTTAACACTAGAGGACTTTAAGCTAAGTTCAATTGGAAATGGAAACAGGGTAGTGAAGTCTTCAGTATATATAGAGAATTCAAGGCCTGTCATGTGCAAAAAACAAAAAGAAAAACAGCCCATTTTCCAAAAAGAAATTACCTATTGGCATCTAACAGCCAGCTCAAAAAGAATAAACATAAAGAAAACTTCATCCTAAGCAAGTGAATGGTATTATAATTAGTGAAAGTTACAATTATTTGTAGCACCTTTGTTTGTTTGTCTGTTGTGTTTAAAATTATGAATCAGACAAATTATGAATGCAACCTACGGCACAGCGAATGGATGACATAATGTTTTCAAGATTAAATCTTAAAAATACAAATAAATTAATCTTACAACAATATTGACAATAAGCTCGAGTGCACGCTAACCGATATGGTCCTCTCTTTGGCCATTTCCTTTTAAGCTTCCCCTATGATTTTTAAAATGCTTCTGATTAGGGAGAGTTTCCACACCTTTATAAGGAATACTTCATTCTCCTCTACAACTGCGGGATCTCACAGTCCACCCCCTTGGGGGCCAACCGCTCGGTGTCTGGTTCTGATACCATTTGTAACAACCTAAGCCTACCGCTAGTAGATATTGTACTCTTTGAGTTTTCACTTTCGGGCTTCCCCTCAAGGTTTTTAAAACATACACTTATGGGAATGCTTCGAGACGTGGGATCTCATGGGACACAATTATAATAATAATCATCCATTAGTTGGCTTTGATTACAATTAATCCATCGGGGTAAATGCCAATGTAGTTGCAGGCCATGAACAATTAAACTCAAGAGCTGAACAATTTAAAGATGAACTTCTAACCAAGACACAGATTCATCAAGATTATAAATATGAAAGAAAAAGGTGTCAAAATGACAGCCCAAAATCAATGGTAACATGATCAGAAGCACCAAGCAGAAGGGGTTACTGGATTAGTGGGCTATCAGAACTCAGAAGCCCCATTATACAGAAAAGAGTCAAATGGGAGATAAAGAACAAAGTTTAGAGGGCAGAATGGAAATCAATAAATAAATAAGTAAAATCGACTGGGAAAAGGAGGTGGGTGTTGTGGTCTCTTTGTTGTCTTTGTGAGTAAATTTAATGGAGCATGAAATCATGGGGGCAGTTTATATAGTTGAATACCTGTAAAGTTGTATAAAGAGGCCTTTTCAAGAGAGCAAGTGGCTCGCACGTTGATGGAACTGGATATTCAACAAAGATGCGGCTCGGCATTACAGTAGTGACCTCCATTTGGCTCCATTCGAATCTACCCACCTGGTTAGCCGCCGCACGCGGTGGCCCACTCGATGCTCCGGTCGGTGCCCACTACGGCGATGCTCTTCTTCATTCTTTCTTTCGACTCTCTGCTGTACCAGTTTGTGGTCGAGGTTAATGGTAGTTGCCATAGCCGAGCTGAACGAGGAAGATGGGATATTTTTGGATTTGGGCCTTGTGGTTAGTCTTTGGCCCAATTCAATATTGGGCCTCTCGTGATCTCTGAATATCCGGCCCAAACTACCGTTTTAACCATTTGAGAGATGTTGGGTCTGGGCCTTGTGAATAGACCCTACGGCCCAATTTGTTTTTGGACCTAAATTCTCTCTGCCGTTTAAAAAATATACTCCTCTTCTTGAGCGTTTTCTACTAGTTTTTAAATACATTTTTAAAAAATAATATAATAATTATTAAATAATAATAATAATAATAAAAGTATTTTTTAAAATAAATGGTAATATTTGATTTTTATATATATAATTTCTTTAGTTTGGGAATAATAAAAGAAAGGAAATAAGTTCCGAGACTAGATCGTAAAAATATATATGGAAAAGGGTATAAATTACTATTTATAGTAAAAATTAAAATACGAACATATAGTATGTAGTTATATTTGATAAAGCTATTTATAGTAAATCGAAACTATATATATATATCCCTAGCCAGGGGTTTGAAGATGTACTCTCTGCGTTATCTCTTGTTACAGAGGATTGTACACATACCTAAAGCCATCAGTTCCTCCCCTTTCCTATTTTTTTTTGTGCTTATATAGATCAAGTGTGTGTTGTTAGCGGTCCTAACAACCCTAACAACTAATATCATGGCTAGGCGAGATTCACCTCGATTTGTAAAGATGGAAAGCTCAAAGATTGGAATTGAGAAGTTTGATGGATCCGATTTCGATTTATGGAAGATGCAAATTGAAGATTATCTCAAACAGAAAGATCTTAAAGAACCATTGTTGGGGGTGAAGCCGGATACTATGACTATGGAGCAGTGGAAGCTCAAGGATCGTCAGGCCCTAGGATTGATTCGGTTGACACTATCCAGAAACGTGGTGTTCAACATCATGAATGAGAAGACGACATCAAACCTTTTGAAGGCGCACAAAAAACCGTCGGCTATGAGCAAAGTTTATTTGATCCGGAAATTGTTCAATCTACAAAGGTATGAAGGTGCATCTATTGCTGATCGTATAAATGAATTAAACAAAGGTCGATGTGAAAATTTTCCAAACAGATGAAACATAACGTGTTGGAGTTGTGGAGAAAAAGGTCACTTTCGTACAAATTGTACAAATCAGAGAGGAAGAGGAGGTAGAACCTGGAAAGGAGATGAATCTATAAATTTAGTAGAAGACTAATTCTAGCCTGACCAATCCGATTGAATCTTGGATTTTGGATCCATGTGCACCTTTCATTCCTTGTATGGCTTAAGATAATAAATATATGGGAGTTAATATGATTCCAATTGCCATGTACCAAAGTAATTAGTATTTTTCTCATTACAAGAGATTTTTTTTTGCTAGTAATTATGACTATGAATTCTGCAACAAAACTGCTCATACGCGGCAATGCAAGGAAAGCCCTATCGATAAGATACTCGAAGTTGTGTAGAGAGTTGTTTCGAAATTTTAAGGCTGAAACCTTCGAGAAATCATATCGTGCATAAAAACTTTTCTATATTCTTTTGGTATATAACTGAAGTCATTAATACAAATCAGCCAATATTTCCTTTGTATTTTCTCTCTCCTATTTTTGTGTTTATCTAGATCAAGTGTGTTCGTTGTTATTGTTGTTGTGTGATCTTGTGTGTAATATAAGTGGTGGAAAATTGATTTAGGAGGTGGAATTAACTTTGTTTGGACACTTTTCCACAAAAAGTAGGATTTTACTAGTATCTGACCCACCCACGATCGAAACATGACATGACGAAACAAATCATAGATAAAAACGTAACTAGAGAGTTTTTGAAACAAAAAAAAAAAAACATTAAGCACTTAGTTTTCAATTATCTCATAAATATTTACACTCACTCAGAATGAAACTCTACTATTCCAGTTTCTTTCTCTTGATGACTCCATGGAGGCGCTTACTCGTGTTCTTGCTTCACGCGTGTTGATGCTTTTGTACAGTGTATGAACCATGTTTCTCACTCGGACTGTGATTTCTGTTATGGGCAGATGAAAACTCGGATCCTGCGTTGTCACCGCTTTCTGCTTGATACTCGAAGGGGAAGATTCTTGTATGATGGGTGCTATGTTGCATGCAATATTGGCGCGGAGAAATGCTCTGCTTATTTCAGCACTCGTATTTCCCAGAGGGTTACATGGCTCCTGAATAAGCCCTTGCTAACCCAAGGCCATCAATGTCGATGGTTGTGAAAATGCTTACAGAAAACATGAGATTTCCCAGCCAAAACAGCCACTATATCAAGTGGGATTAGCCATACCAAAAATTGGAATAAGAAACTTGGAATTTATTCTCTATATTGGTAACGCAAGCAATAATTTAAGTGTCCAAATTCTTCAGCAATTAAATAAATATATATAAATATATATATATATATATTTCCGGATATACATGACGAGAAAGCAAACAAAAGCTGATATTAGAAGAAACAACATTGGGAATATACATCTTGAGATTATTATTAAAGTGTTTCAGTCCTCTCTGAATAATCTACCAGAAGAAAGCCCATCCATTCCCTCAAACTGCATATTGTCTGATGGCTTCCAGTGGCGTTTCCGCTGATTTATGAACCAATTGTTAATTTGCTTCTGGTCGAGCCCTGTTCTCTCTGCCAGTGCAACCTTATCGGCTTCCTGCATGATTAAAAGCAGCGGATTATGGCTCTCTACTTCAAGAACAACCATAAAATATTCCTCCATGAGGGATTTCTTTATTTAGTTAAGCAACTTTTAATATCATGAATTCCGTAATGGACTATATTTGGGATAGATGGTAACTTAGTGAAATAATTAAAAACTTTAGACCGTGTTTTGCCTGATTCGTAGCACGTGACTAAGGCATGATGAAGTGATTTAATGCATCAACCATTGTCTAGTCCGTATTTTTTATGCTGTGAACTTTTATGTGTGACCATACGATGTCCATTACAAAACTTACGTAAGCTTATAAGCAAACATACCGTAGGATATGGCCATCTATAGTGAACGTTCCACCATTCAAGGAGTGTCTGCCTGGCTTCTTTTGGTAATTTTCCTTTTTTCTTCTTCTTTGAGAACTCCAATTTTAAGCTACTAATATGACTGCCAAATCGACGTAAAAGCTTGTCCTTGAGATCCCTGTTCTCGCCTTTGGTTTGAGTTTCCGGCTCCACAACTTCCATCTCTCCTCCGCTCAACTCTTCATCCGACGAGACAGCTCCTTCATCTGTTTATGAGATCGAAAACATATTCTTACTTGGCAGTAGTAATTCAGATAATGTATAAGCAAGAAATAAAGCTCCATGGTAAATGAAATGAAAAAATGTACGATTCAATGTCTTAAAGAAGAAGTGCAGATTGATATTGAAAGGGCACGGCAGGAAGATAGGACCCCACAAAAAAGGCATTTCAAAGGTAAAACAAGGATTTGACTGCTAACTGCAAAAGAGGAAGAAGGAAAAGGGAAGCCAAGCTGCGTTTCAGCAGTGTCTGGTTAAGTCGTTCGTCAGACGCGGGGGGGGGGGGGG